TGGTGGGTGAGATCTGTGTCCCTGCAGGTCCCTGAGCTCAGGTGGGTCACACCTCTGTCCCCGTAGGCCCCTGGGCCATGGTGGGTGAGATCTGTGGCCCTGCAGGTCAGACCTGTGGACCCGCAGGTCCGTGGGCCGTGGTCACAGGGCCTGTGACCCTGCAGGTCCCTGTGCTGGAGCAGCTGCTGCTGGAGAGCAGCAGGAGGGCCCAGGACATCCCTTCTCCTCTCAACCCCGCCGTGGAGCTCAGCCATCCCCAGCTGCCACGTGTCACGGCGGTGCCATCACGTGGGAGCTGCCACATGGGCCCCTCGCGTGTCGGGAGGATCCGCGCGCGTGCCGGGGGATGCGATAAGGCCCCGGAATGCTGTGGCGTGAGTTCAGCTCTCCTGCCTGGTCCCAGCAGCTGCAGGAGCCGCTTCCACTTCCTGCCCGTCCCTGCCTGCGCTCCGTGCTGTTCAACAGCTGCCGCGCTCCATCCTGTTTCGTGATGAAAGGTGCTTTAGAAGCGGAAGAAAGTTGTGATGAGCGGGAGGAATAATGTACAGGCGGGGCTGGAGGCAAGGCAAGGCTGTGCTCGTCCTGGTTCCAGCCCTTGGGGCGGGTGGTGGTGGCGGGGGGATGGACATCCTCAGCTGGGCAGCGGCATGGGGACCCCTTCCCACCCCTGATTTTTGGGTGACATGTACAGGGTTGGTTTGCTGGCTCGCTGCAGTGCCATCCCAGTGGCATGGCAGCATGGAATCATAAAACCATGCAATGATTTGGGTTGGAAGGAAACCGTAAAGACTTTCCACTAGCCCAGGTTGCTCCAAGCCCTGTCCAACCTGGCCTTGGGCACTTCCAGGGATGGGGCAGCCACAGCTTCTCTGGGCAACCTGTGCCAGGGCCTCCCCACCCTCACAGGGAAGAATGTATCCCCAATATCTAATATAAATCTCTCCTCCTTTACTTTGAAACCATTACCCCTTGGAACTCCCATTTCCCACACTGGGGAACCTCATACCCATGGGGAAATCCCCTTTGTCACTGGGATGAAAACTGGGGGCAGGAAAAGAGGCAGCACCAGGGGTGCCCACATGGCTGGGAGCCCTGGGGCTGTGTCTGGTGGGGTGCTGGGACTGACCACTCTGGGAAGTCCTCTGCAAGGCAGAATCTCTGACTTGGGTAAAGAAGAGAAGAAAACCAGACCAGAAACTTGGGACCAAACCAAACCAAACTTGCAGTAAGAACATTAATCCAGCAAAATGGGGAACACAGTAGTGTATTGGAAGATCAATCAGAGTGAATTTACTCATTGAGACAGATCTTGCTGTGTGTAGCTGTTAATGATGGTGAAATTTGGAGAGAGGGGAAATGGTTTGGTTTTTAGGTAGAAGAGA